TCATCCTCCCTTTTTATTACCTGCTACTTGACATTACAATGACCTTGATGATACACCACCCACAGTCAGTTTAAAGCATGAGTTTTGCCTCAAACTATACGATTTATATATATTATTGGATTAATGGAAAATTTCACATTATCTTTTATTTGGGGAATTTTTTGGGTATTTTATTAAAATGGTGAAAATACAACAATGGACATAATAAACTAGATTCTGACATTTAAATGTTAAACTATGTGATAATTAAAATTATCAACTGTATCTAGTATGTACACATTATAAGATTTTAATTTTAATGTTTTTTTTTTTTCACTTTCTACCTTAGCTTATAGAATATATTTGTTGAAATGTTTAAGATTATTTATGAATATACAAAAAAAAAAAAACACATCATACAAGAGAGACATTTTTTTTTTTTTAGTTATTTATAAGAATTATATCAGTTTGCTAAAATGTAATTGCTACATACTGTGTAGTTTTTCCTTCTTATTTTCATTTATTCATAATACAAAAGTGTTTTAATTTGGTGTTTTTTGAAGGTTTGGCTCATTAGTGATAAAAATTCACAGGAAACATATGAATTTGTTTTGCTTGGTTTGATATTAAGAAAAGATATTAGTTTAAATGTTAAATTGTTAATACAGTAACTGTAAAATACCAATATTACCTGAGTTATTATCTAGTTGTGAAATATTGGGGAGGTTTAGATGACCTGAGATATAGTATAGTACAGGTGGTATTTGATGGTTAACTATGATCTTTTCCCTCTTCTCTACAGGATTATAGTGATTGTCATTGGACTAGTTGTAGGTTTGCCTATCTTATTGTTCATCCTAGTCAATACAATAGACTGTAGGTTGTCGTGCGTAATGTCAATAGCGGGAAATTTCACTGTTTAGTTTTAACTATAGTCAACACGTGGGACACGCTTTTGTCTTCTTCTCTTTAAGATTCCATTGTGGACTAGCATTGTTTGTGTGAATATTGTGCCGTTTGATTTTTGGACACGTTTTACTTTTACTTTCTAGATTTTAGTGGAAGATTTTTGAAATTAAAGATGGTTGTTATTATCGATACAGTAAGTTTAATGTAGTATTCAATGTGAGAACTTTCTATTAGGGTTTATTGTAAGTTTTGGAAATTATCAAGTTAAAAACAAAACAACTTGTCAAGTTAGGCAATACTACTTTGAAAATGTAAAATAAATCATATTGAAATATATAATATTTAAAACATTATTCCGATGAGTAATAAACATAGTTTGGTTAACTTCCTATTTTAACTCAGGAAACTCTTGACTATTGATGTCAACATATTTCCTTATATGGTAATTAACATAGAACCTGATAAAATATGAAAGTTTTTCATGATATAAAGTTTAGCTAGTGTTTTCACTGAGGCCAATTTCACCGGTATAATTGCCTTAGCTGATAAAGTGTTGCTGTTACAGTAAAATGAAAATCACAAGATGTTATGGACTTTGTTAGGATCTGAGGTTTACGCTAGCCAAGAAGTTGACTAGCACAATCTTAGTTTGACAGAAATCATATCACAATATTGATATTTCATTTTGAGACGGACATTTTTGTGTTTTTATGAAACTAGCTCAGGTTTCCCCAAACTACAATGTCATAAATTTACAGTCACATAGGTTTCACCACCAAATACAGGCAATAGCTTTGAAAATTCATAGCCATAATTGGTACTGTACTTTAATTGATTATCTCCTTGAATTATTGAACAGATTGCACCACATTGCCTTGCAGATGATAAACCTTGTACAACTGCACACTGCCTTAGGTCATAGTGTACAATGAGATGCTGTAAGTAACATCACCTGTATGTTAATAATTTATAACAAGTTAATTAATTGTCTTTATTCTCCTGTTTGTTTTTACTCTACTATTGTTCTGAGTCATATTGTACTGATATCTAAAACTTGTTATATAGCACTGATCAGTCATGGTTAATGTTTCTTTATAGATTATCTGTTATATACTTGTACCCAATACTTCTATTTTATATAACACTTAAAACCAGTGACCTGGGAAAAGTGTTCTAAAGAGAGTAACCTGCAGATCATAGATAATGGTCACATGGGAGAGTATGGGGGCAGTGGTGGCTCAGCAAGTCAATCACAATTGAAAAATTGTAGGATAATGCAGCTGTCTTCACAAAATTTCCCTTAGAACACACTGCAATATTTTCATTAGCCTGTTGAAGTTTTAAAAAGCTGGATATTATATCATATTATTCTCATGTTAAAGGTGACATTGGAAATTGAATTGATCCCCATTTCACAGGAATATGACAGATTACTATTTACTGATTACATGAACAATGGTACTGTGATAATTGAAGTTCAGTGTGATTATGTGCCCCTAGCTAGCTAGTTAGATTATTCATTCAGAGACAATAATTTTCAGTATTTTTCTGAAAATTTTCTGAAATCAGAAAGGAATGACAATCCAGGAAAATACCAAGCATTTCTTTTAAGATTTATAAGGAAAAATCAAGTGACAAATAGTTGTTGGACTATATTGATTATTGAATCTCATCACATTCTCTCCATGTTCACTTCATTAGTTAGTATTTAGTAACAAGAGCAATCTATTCACGATTGTTGACTGGTGTTCTTTTCACTCATATTTGATTGGAACTATCCAATATATTCCTTATGTGGAACAATAGTAATGAAAAAATAAAAAGACTTAGTCAAAAAGAGTTCACTTCACTTTAACTCAAAGCAGTGGTATATTTTAAGAAATTTTGTTCAATAATGCTGTGATATAAGAGGTGATTTGGAGATGGAAACAGAATGGATGACTGATGATTAAAATACTCATATTGAGAACTGTATTAGTGATTTTAAATTGAAGAACTGTTGATGACAAGGAAAGTTGTTTTTACCAGTTAATAAATAGAAGATTATTTGAAAAAGTATTCACGAATTTTAATTTCAATTCAACAAGTCGTAAAGAAGTAATAAAATCTTCAGTTTTGAGAAGAAAATCTATGAATCAATGACAATGACATCTTCTAAATTAAGGAAATGTTCAAGGAAAGCTAAGTTGATTATTATGAGATATTTTGATGAAGTGATGAACTAGAAATCACATTGCAAGGAAACTTTGGTAATAGGTTAAGAGATTACTTGGGAGTATAAAGAAATATCAGAATTGAATTCTAAAAGTTCAGGGGAAAAACATCTAGCATTGATCATCAAAGTAGAAATTAGATATATATTAAAATATAGAAAAAAAAATTTGTTTGAAATCCAACAGATGTTATATTGAGTTAAGATATAACTATATCATTATTCTGTTATCAAACCCCCAAGAAAGGAAATTAAATGATTTTTTGAAGTGAAAATTGAAAATGACATGACAATTACAGAGTATTATATATTATATATCCTTATCAAAATGCACCTGCAGTTAATAGTGATATGAACTTTTGTTAAGTAGAATTGAATGTTCAACAACAACAAAATAATTGAGAGAAGAATTACAACTCTATATTTGATGTTAATTAAGACTTACTGACTTGAAAATATGATGTATATAAAATGTGTAATATGTGAACATCACATTGGATCAATGATATAGCCTCTGGTTAACAATTCACAGTTCAAAGTCTTGGAATGACAATGATAGAATGGTTAGCTAGTGACAGAACTATCATGATGATTTGAAATGAATTATTGAATGTAACTAGAGAATAATACAATAGTGGTAGTATTCTAGCTTGGAATAGGAACAACCTTGAAGAACATCTGTTGAGGTATTGAAGGGAAGATTTTAATTAAGGCTTGTATTTGTCCATATTGATGTGATATAAATGAAATTCTGAGGTCTAGTATTGTGACTGTAGGGGAATGTTCAAACAGGTTCAAACATTTGACAGCTGGATTCTGATATAATTTAATTGGATACCAATATATTTTGTGCTTTAATAGTTTTTGGTCAGAAAACTAAGAATTAAAGACTTGTCCGGATATATTTTCAGTTCTCACATTAACTAACAAAAGTCTGTGTTATTAAAATTGGGAATCTAAATAATAATGAAGCATTTTTGTTGATTTTTATTGTCTGCATATTGTATGATATTGTATGATTTGGTAGAATTAGGTGCTTGTCAACTTAGCTTAGTGTTTGGTATGCCTGTGTATCTGATTCATCATTTCCTTGCTCTGTATTAGGTTCTTGTTATAAGATAGAGGAAATGTATGAGTATGAAATAAAATCTGTATTATTCCTTATGATAATTGGAATATCTTCAGTGATTTTAACTAAAGAACTACGTGCAGAAGTAAACATATTCAGATTAAGCTTATAGTTTTGCAGCTGAAAGAGAATATAATGGATTTAAGTTATCAATTGTGAGTTTAATGGAATACAATTAATCTGATACTCAAAGATTATAAGATATAGATCATATTTGAGGATATTAATGTATAATGTGTTAAATGAGTGTCAAATTGATCAAGGATTTGATGACTTACATGAAAAGTAAATATTAAGAGTGATATCAGAAGGATTATAGACAAACCAAAATGTTTTTAACTCGGAGATTAACAAGAAGAAGAGGTAAGATCTTTAATTTAAAATTTTAAACTATTTTGTTTGTGAGATAGGAACTTTTATCATACAGATATTGATTGTATGCTGACTGATAGTAGCATACACACTTTAACATGCTTTGTGTGGTAAAATTTCTTAATATAAACACAATGATTTTTATATCTTTCTAAAAATGTCTGTAGTAGTTGCTGTAGTCAATTATTCTATGAACTGTTGCAAAATCTACTGTAAACCCTTATATATATCTGTAAATGTTGAGAGATCTGGTGAGAATAGTGCATCAGAAACACTTGTAGAAAGCTGTAGTTTCCTGTCCATTATATATGAGATGAAATCTTGACCTTAATTCATACCAATTGTCTTTTCAATATTTTGAATATTTGTTACTAAATGAAAACGATTCTGGCAATTAAATTGAACATCAGGATTGAATTAATTTCAATATTGATTAAAGCTTAATTAACCAGCCTGTTCACTGGTCATTTGACCTGGACTGACCTCTCTTGGGACACTGACCAGCTGAGGTTGAGGGGTTATTGAATTATGTTTGAATGTAAACAATTAAAGAGTTATCTTTCAACAAATCAAATATTTATTTCATCTCATCAGTTTCCTTCCTACTGGAAATGACCAATTTATTATGAGTGGATTGACAGATGAATAAATAAACCCGAGTATGCAAGTAGTGGATGAATGAATGAAAGATGAAAGAAATTCCTCAACATAATAGCTCAATAGTGTCGGTGCACAAACAGTCTTAGTCACCCATTTTTGTAGCCAACTAGAGTCTTGTCAAAAGTTTCACCGACCAGCGACTTGATGGAATTTGGCTCCATTTGAATATGCTGGACACACTAGCTTATTGTTCTGGTCTCTGATTCCAGGAGGCAACTGAGACTGTCAATTCGGCATCCCAACTAGAGAATCTATGGACTAATATTGTTAAATTCAGCCTGACACGAGTAAGATTGAAATAGTAATAGTAAACCATGTTAAATATCTAGATATAATTTGTCTGTTTAACCAGTATATAGATTCAAACTTCCTCCAACAATCAATGATTTTGTCTGTTCTTTATTTAAAGAGACTTTGCATCATTTCATTCCTTATCTTTAACAATGTCAATATTTGACATCACACACAATTCAGAATCTTCAGCCATTTAACAATTTACCACCATATATATGAAAATTCTCCACCATTGAAGGCAGTTTGAGAATCTGAAAGAGAATGTCATAATTATGTTATTTTCATCAAGTCAGAACAGAAAAGGTATATTTGTATATTTTCCATTTTCAGATTTTTATTTCAACTATGTGTAACATGTCTCTTTAACTTTCGGACAAGAAATAAAATATAGATATTTTTTCTTATTTATCTGAGATATTTTGATCTTTCAAAAGACATGGTCAAAGTCTTCCATTTCTACAGATCAATATGTTTAATGTTTTATGTTCCTCTCTTTAACTTTGGAACTAGAAATCGTGCTCTGATACAGTTTGTACTATCTGATGTCCGAGATGTTATATTAGCATGTTTTATCAAGATATATTGCTCTATCTTGACAGTATTAATATGAATTATTTCTCTTTGATTATGATTCTTGTTAGAAACAGCCAATTCGGTTGATTTTCTGTCAATATGACTGTGATATATTTATTCAGACTGTTAGTTAATGGATAGGACCAATACAGTCTGATGTGGGAACATGTTGATGTAATTCTGTAGAACAAATTAGTATATTGTTTAAAATCAGTCACTGTACTATTTGGATAGTGCTCAATAATTAATGATGATTTGAAGCCATTTAATTAATGTTAATGGAAGAGGTCAACAAATTGTGTTTGGAAGGAAGTTAGTTTGTAATGGTGAAACACACACTTGTGTGAATGTTTGGAATATGTAAAATTCACAAAATGTTTGTTCTTTTATGACTGATTTTGTAAGTCAAAAAAACCAAAAGAAAAGCATCTTGGTGGAATCAAGAATGAAGATATTCCAAGGGAAAAATTATATTTGAATAAAGGAGATAATATCAATTCAGTTTTCAGTGAAATGTGTAGATAGTGAAAAATGTATGTGTAAATTTTAGGTATAATGGTTTAAAGAAGACAATAAGTAAATAAGCCCATTGAAACTCAATGGATATTGCACGCTGTAGATTTTAGATTTGCAAAATGCATTGTTAAATCACATTTGGCTTATACAAACATCAAATGTGCATCAAGTGCTGAATTTTAGGCATTTCATGAGCTATAATGTCAATACAACCTTGCTAAATTACAATGTATGATACATTTACATACAATGGATTTTGGATGAGTTTCAAGAAGGATGAAGAAATATTTAGAGGAAATCTGTTTGAGGAAAGCTTAAATGTGTCTATTTTAATTCTGTTATTGAAAAAATAGGCAATGAAATAGGTCCTGGTATCTTTAATGAAAACATGGTATGTTGAAACATCTTGTTTTAAAACTAAATTTAGATTTCAGATAATATAAAGTTTAAGTGTGAAATTGTGATTTGAATTTTAATGATTTCTTGATTGTTAGTGTTGATAGCAATATCAAATTTGCTTAGTTGGTAGTTTTGTATGATATGCTCGTCTTTCTAAGTGATGCTTCATTGTGTCTGTGGGTTGCTGAAAACTTTGAGTACAGTAATGTAAAATTTCATTGTGTTTTGATGATAGACATACTTTAAAGGTATGTAGATGTGTTGTGATAAAAACATGTAAAACGTGCCATTTCAGAACTTACTTATGGATCTTTAAGGGTATAAAACAAGTGTCAGAATACTGGTGAATAATCCAGGAGTTGTGAAGACAAGTGTAGAGTTGTACTAGGTGTTAAAGAGAGGATTTTGATGTTAACTTTGATGTTAATGTTTATAGTTTCTACTTGTTACATGTTTGACATGACATGACAATGAGTTGGACAAAAGTAGACCTCATATTACACATGAATGGGTCCATTTATATTTTTTAATCAGACATATGTCCAACAAGGTTAGTTTTAGTCTTGAAATATCAACTGAGATTTAAATAATTGTCCTGTTTCTAATTTAGTTAATTGTATATTAACATGCTGAAATAATATTATTAATTAGCTATGTGGATTTCCCAACATGCTGGAAACAAGCATAAGCTTTCTCAATGTTAACACAGAATTATATAAGCTTAGTAGATCAAATTCAATTCAACATTTTTGAAGAATTTTCTTCTGATTTCATATCATTTCAAGTTTATTTGTTTATAGAATTAAACAGTTAATATGATATATATAAATGTTTTGTTATATATCTATGTCATTGTAGGGGAGTATTAGTATAAGTAAGAGACTTGTAGTTTATGTTTATATTTGAGGCTATAATTACTATTGATATAGACTGCATAATATGTAATTGATAAAAGGAAAAGATATGAGAACATTGGACCTTTTGTTAAAACATATATCCCCATTCTGAAACCTTGAAATCCATGTTTCAATTCACAACAAGCATTGTATATATATATATATATATGCATAACCTATTTAATATGTGGGCTTATGAAGGTAAAACTGTGCTTTGAAGGCAAAATAAAACTGTGCTTTGAAGGCAAAATAAAACTTCCTGCAATGTACATCCTGAAACAATAAGATCCTTGTCTTATCTGCAAATAAACTTAGTTTGTCCATGCCAGCTCTTCCAATTTTCCTCTCTCAAAGAGTGATACCAGCTTTAGAAATCTGAAAGCCAATTTTCAGATTATGCTGAGATAAAATCAAATATCCCTATGTTAGCGAGCAAGCTCTAAACTTCCTTATAAAAAAGCAGGTTTTGGGCTAATATACTTCAGATCCTGACTAAGCTATAGGTTTCTCAATTACTAAAAACAGATCAAATTATTATCAACATGTTTACTTTACCTAATTATTTACTTTCTATATTATATGCTAATTTGCAAGGTCATGCAAATAACTTTTAATAGATTAGCTATACTGTAGACAAACAGTAGCTTACGTAATTCATTATTATGCAAATTATATTCGTGATGATCATTTACAATTTAAAAGTTACGTAGAAAAAAAGGTGGGTTTGTCATGTGACTATGTTTAAGGAAGAATGAGTTGATGTTTTTAACAATAAGTAAGGGATTGTATACTATTGTATGTGAAATAGTGGTTTCCCATGTCTTGTATTATTGTGAAAAGTATGTAAAATGCGGAGTTATTTTTTTGCTTTTAAGATGCAAATATTTTCTTGTAATACTATTATACACATTTAGAGAATAATAAGGAATTGTATGTGTGAAATAGTGATCTTAGTAAAATTAGTAGTAAAATGGACTGATAGTGGTCACTATTTCTTATACTATAGACACTATAGCTTACTACATCATTTCCATCAAATGTGATCAAGGAAGATTACTGGATTCATGTCTAGGCCCTTAACATTATCATATTATGGATGTTGATTTGAATGGTTTCATGGCAGATTTCTTCTTGTGATTTTGTTTGTACTATGACTATATTTATTATTGATACCAGTGTGGTTTAATGTAGGAATGGAAAATATTTAGTTTTTTAGTGATTTTTTAATTATAAAATGATATGACTATATCAGTATCTGACAGTACAGACTGTATTCACATGAGTTCTTCTAATAAATAGTGTCAGTGAGTGTTTTTAATATAGAATACATCATTCATACAGGTGGTTTCAATTGATACAATTGGGGCTTTTGTTATATTTTTTTAAACAATATTTTCGCAGTAAGCGTTAGTCTGTTTTGACTATGTGATCAAGGGGTATTAATTGTGAAAGAAAATTGATGAGAGTTCATGTCTTGTTTTGTGGTTTTATAATAGTAGTATATTATTTGCATAGATATGACAATAAGGAATGTCAATTATTATTAATATATGTAGGAATTTTAATATTAATGTCCAATATATAAATATAATCTATATGATAATACATTGAATAACTTGATAGTCAATGCTGTTAATAGCACAACAGTAACATTGATACAATGTATTTCTAAGTTGGCATTATTACAACAGATGACATGGTTTAAGGTAATACTTGATGTTTCTCTATGTTAGTATTAGACAACAGGAGACTCTGTGATTGACTACAACTGACAATACTTGATTTCATCAGAAAAAAGAGGCAGCGCATACAGCCCTGAATTTGAATATTTAAGATATGAATATGATGTATATAAAAACCTATTAATGATAGCTGATTGATCATGATAACCTTTAACATTTTATAAAATAGTTAAACTTGATTGGATAATCTTTCACATTTGAAAATATTTTCTGATTGGTTGCCCTTTTTACATTCAAAATTGAAACAAACTGGATTTTTATTTTACTGTCATCATTTTATCTTATTTATTATTATTATTGAAGATAATTGTACAGATATTAAGAATGAAGATTTTAATCAGTGGTAGAAATTCCATTGCTTAGATAGACTGTAAATAGTGCTAATCAAAAAAAGAATTTGGAATAGTGGATAAGTTATATGTAATTTTTTTTGAAGAGTCCACTATATTGGTATTCTTAGAGTATCCTATTTGTGAGGTTGACAGTTGGCATCATTAATAAGGAGTCCACAGAGTTATCATTGTTATTTGGTGTTTTTATAGCAACAACTAAATGAGATTGTGAAACAATTTGACAAAATATGTGCATTTAGAAGAGGAATATTAGATGATTATTAAAATAACGTATGACCTGAAGGGGGTCGAAATATTCTGATGATGAATATGTTGTCGAGGTGATAAATTGTTAATTAACTTAGCTTACTAATTAAACTCCTAATTACGACTCATGATTTCAACAAAATTCAAACATAATTTATTTTGGTCCTAGCGACTTATCTATGGATATATTTGATGAAGATAATGACAGGGAAAAGACAACATTAATTAGATAGTTTATACAGAATACTGACTGATAGTTATATATGTTGTCTAATTGTTTTTTTTATATGAAGTATATCTGATAAGTAGTTTGTCATGATATATTAAGTGATGGTGATTTGTTTATAATAGGATTTCAGAGTTTTAAGTGATTTTAAACTGACAGTTACCTGAACTTTTGGACTGAATTGATTTATTTGATTATTTAGGTGAAGTAGGCATTTGTAGATAGACTATTTGTTTTATTTTTTCAGATCATATTCAAAGGTTTAATGAGATTTTCGAAATCATTTCACAATTTAAATCAAAGTTTAAATTTACACTAAAAATTGTTTTGACCTTCTAAGCTTGATGAATGGACTAGTCCAGTTTTGATCTGACTTTGACCATTTTATAGATGGTGACCTTTTTATGCAGATTAATTGGTTAATATTTGCATGTTGATTAAACGGTTGCTATTAAAGGTATAGTGACTGATGATCGTCTTGTTTAGCCAATCAGGTTGTTTACGATATATTTTTATGCAAATAATAGGTTAATTGCTTCAAAGTAATTAATTTACCATGGATTGATGACTGATTGGACCAGAATATCGATATTACATATCAGTGGATAACCTAATTTTGATATATTTACAGTTACCTTCCAAACATTTTGTTGAATGTTAGAGAAGAATAAAATTGAAATTGAACTTTCATTTATGTGGAAACATTAGTATATTAAAAAAACCAGGGATGTATTATTAATGTGATATTTTTGGATTTGTAGAAATGTGTAATGTAGTTGGTAAGAACTTGTATAATACAACACAAGTTATAATCTGATATCCATGAAAATGGGGATTGAACATTTAGCTTGGAAATTCACCATATGAAAGTAAATGAGAAAACGAGAGATTCACAAATGCAAGTAATGTATGATATAGTTATAGATAGATGATAATATTTTATAATATTGGTGAATCGTATGGTATCACTTACATTTAAATTACAATTTTACTTTGTCAACTGATCTACCTGTTTGATTTGCGGATATTACAAACTGTTCACAAACTGTGGAAATAGTGAATATTTCCTTGTACTTGTAAAAAAACAATAATTTGGATTAAATGCTTGATTTACATACTGAATAAACTACATTGGATATTGGAAGTTTAGGTATCTACAATTAAGATGGACATTTTATTTGTTTCCCACTCACAAGATGTGTGTCTTGAGGAACAAAAAAGCTATTGGTTCTAACAGTGGATGACATTATTGCCTTCCTGAATTTATATTTATCAGAATCAGCAATTACTTTATACTTGTAAAATATCAGACCAAATTAAACACGAACAAGATGTTTCTTGGATTTATGATTAACTTTGTTTGGTTGGATAGAAAGTCAACATGATTAAATAAATCCATGCCAATGATCAAAAAATCCAACAAAGTTCTACATTTAAATAATATATAATGGTTGACAGGAGTTAAACTAATGATGCTAGTTAGAAAAGTGTAATGGTACAAATTGACAATATATCCATTTTAATTGGTGAAAAAATATCTGGAGTGGACAGTAAGCAACATTGTTAGATGATGAACATTATAGTCAGTATAGTGCATGAAAAGCATAGCATGGTATTTGGAACAGAAATTTTATATTTATTGTATAGTATCTTTTAAGTTAGAATGGTTAAAGTATTGTAAGGTATATAGATAAGAAACTTTATTAAAATGGTAACAGTGTCACTAAATGTTAATCAATTTGATTCTTTGCTAAGGAAAAACTGTAAGAATTGCCCTGTTTATGCGAATATACAAAGCCTATTTACTACCAGTGTATAAAGTGATAACCATGATGGAGTACTTGTGTCCTTGCTGGCCAGTCAGCAAATGCTGTGATAAAAAGGATAAATTACGTGATAATTCTAAAACAAAACTATTTATAGTTGATACAGAACAAACTATTGTACCTACAGGTAAATATTTCTTATATTGATAAATATATATTTATTGTTCAATGAATAATCTCAAGGATGCAGAAACAGCATGCTAGCCTAGAAATTATAAAAGTGGCTGTAAAAAGTACAAATGTGGATTATAGGCAACTTGCAACAGTTGTTATAGTAAGTTGTATTTGTACTTTAAACATCAAAAATATTATGTATTGAGCTCCTCCTAAATACTGACAGATACTTATCTGTTCAACAATTAAAGTTCAAGCCCTTCCAGTTAAACCCATCCAGTTAAACTTAAGCTGCCTTAACTTGCATCTACTTCAGAGGTGCTTAGAACAAGGCTTAATTTAAGCCAGCTTAGTTTGGCTGTCAGAATGCCAATCGGTAACATAAAGGCGGATATGTCATGTCTACACATGTGCATCTTAACCGGTTCCTGTCGTTATTATTTTTGTCATAATGGGCAATGGTAATAATATCGTGACCTCTTTAACTTTAATGCCTAATCTGTCTTAGCTGATTGTTCTTCTGTGAAATAAAGTTGCTCATGGACTCTTTCAGTATAAAAAGTTACAGCATTACGTCCTACTCTTTCTCCCTGTAATACTATACGCTGAGAGTTACATTGAGTAGATATCACATGATATTATATTTGTACAATGATAACCTATTGACGTAACATATTGAATATTTAAAATATTTTACTACAGTTTATCATATTCAGATTACATATATTAGATATTTGATAATCATAACAGTAATTTATTCATAACACTCTATCATAATTCAAGGGTTATTACTGTTATCAACATATTGAATAACTTTTGATAGTCTATGATCTACAAGTTATGCTAAATGGTGTCCTGCAAAATTTTTTCTTATTGTATCAAATTGTACCACAGGGATTATGTGGTATACAATCAGAAGTGTGAAGCTGGGCTTTTGATAACCTATGTCTGTTATGACTCTGTTGTGATAGATTTATTGACTCTTTTAGTAATGGTTCTTCTGATTTATTCTTGTACAATTCTTGCCTTGACTGATATTTCAGTTTCATGGTGTAAGGAGATCTTCAGTGGCCATTACGATGTGTAAAACTATAGGGTTAATCTGAGTTTATCATTTAATAATTACTTGATAATGAAATTGAGTAATTTACAATATATGTAAATTGATAGTCAAATTGAATTAAACAGAAACCTAGCAATGTCTTATTGGTTCAGTTTTCTTCTCAAATACATTAGACTCATTGCATTCAAGTTTTCATCAATAAAATTGCTATGAAAGTTATTAGTTGTAATTAGATTTTCTAAAAATAACAAAACGATGCAATAAAAATAATTTTAAGCCTGAAATCAATTTGAAAATCTAATACCATATGGCAACAGGATAGTTTATCAAATTATATAGCCATTTGATTTAATCAGAGCCATGTAACAAAACAGTGAAAAGAAAATTAGCATAAAGCATGAATATGATTATAATAATAATGTCATAAAACTGGAGTAAACTAGAGGTTATTGGGTACAGTATAGTAATATGACAATATTCAGTATCAGTCTGTCAACTAGAATAGGATCTTATGACTCAATGTTCACACAATATCAACACTACAAACTGGATTGTTTAGTTTAACACTTGTTTTTTGTCCTAGTTTGTTGACTGTTTTTAGAAGGAGGTTTATAATCACTTGTAAAAAGAAGGAGTTGTATTTGTGATCCACTGTGTAGTGAAAGTTGGTAGACAATTGTTGTTTCAAGATAAAATTGTCACATTCCATGAATAAGTAACCTGGAAGTGAAGTGGTAGTTTTAGGATAATATCAGAAAATATCTTGGTAATAAGATCAGACGCAAGACAGAAAAGTAAGAATTTCTGAAGATCTGAAGATTTTGATTGTATCTTAAATAATTTATGTTTTTATTGGACAAGGTAAGATTGACTGTAATTCCAATATTATTGTCTTCTACTGTCAGCTCTATTTTTTCACCCTCTCTCCCACTTGTCATGAAGAGTGTATTGGATACAGACAAGTAAATGTTAGGAAAGATTTGATGAAGTTGGAATGACAATAAGATTTGACCTCTGTCAGGTCACTGTTACAAGTATTGATTTGGTCTGGAATCAAGATATATTTTTACAACATTTACATTTAACCATCTTGATTTATGAATTGTATGTGATACTACATGTATAACCTTTGAACCAGTAGTCGAAGGGTTACATTCACTTCTGACTTTCAACCAAATTCATATAGTCACTTGTCTGTTGTACTATGTAAACAGGAGGAAATTCATAATAGGGTATAAATATAGAAGCCCTTTTAATAGAAACTAATTTTTCATGAACTCAATCTTCAACCTGAAAGATAGAAGGGAATTTGAAGAACCAATATTAAAATTTAGTATTTCTATACTGTCAAATATTCATCTGTTTCACCCGATTCCAAATTTTCTGCTTCCATCCTTCTATTGGTGTCTTTGCTCTCTATTTTCATTCAATGATATCTGATTTTTTATTAATATTTGGGATGTCCATCTTCTGTTCTTTTCATCCTACAATCCCTGAGATCAGTGTTACCTAGCCTATATAATAAAATGAGAGGTAAACAAGGATGATGTCCAGCTAGAGTTACCTGTCCTGATTACCTGTCATCAAGGAATGTCTTTGATGTGGACAGACAGACCTAGAAAACTCTCTTATGACAGATCCTCTCTTTAATGTAAAAAATAGGATGAAATATAACACACATACTTCGTGACTATTTTTACCTTTAATGTTTGACCCAGGACTGGTCCTCTGGTTTATTGACTTCGATAATGAAAAAAGCATTTATTTTAACCTAAATGTTATCACTTCCTGCGTCTTGATTTATTCCAGATTTATTCTTGGATGTACATTGGATTTGAATGTCACGTGTGCATGTGATGGGAATCAAGATAGGCTTACTCTGTCATTAATACAAAGCATCATCATGTTAGGGAAATAAACTAAAAATATCTGTTGTCTGTACTCTCCATTATAACCTTAAAAATCATCCATGACATAAACATGACTAGTAAATAGAAAAGTTCAGGAGGTCTTCACATATATCAAGTAAATTATAGGAATATCTTGTTTCAAATATAGAAATATCTGTTAAAATAGAAAAAAACTATCTTAAAAACACTAGTTTCTTTTCTAATGAAACATATCTTTAAATGACAATATCTTCAGTGAACATAGAAAAATGTCTTTAGAATTCTAAATAAAATCATCTTTCCATTTTCAAGTGGCATTATTTAGGCTGTGCAATGTAATTCTTTCAAGTGTGAAATTGTTCATTTTGATACATAACAATATTCATAAGGTAATAGTTTTTAAGAGTTATAAAGAAGTGATATGTTGAAGTATTAGTTATCAACTATTGTTTATTATATTTCTCTATAACTATAAGAGCATGTAATTTGTTGTAAAACTCTTGTATTTATAATTCTATTGATTTTTACCTGGTCGACTGTCATCACTCCAGATTCAATCCGTAATAACATTCACAAGAATAAGGTGTGGTGAATAGCTTCCTACTTTATGGATTTTCAATGATTCATTTTTACTACCAGCGATGACGACATTTCTATGTTTGTCAATGTGAGTGTCTGTGGTTTTGTCATTTTATTTTTTCGTTTCGTTTCGGTCTGTGATAGTTTTCGAATAGCTTAAGTTACTAAAAGGATTTAGAATGTTACCATTTCTTACTCATTGTTTTCGTAAGTTGTTTGTTGTTGTATATGTCGTGTATATATGTAATGTTTAAATGACGTAGATATCTCTTTTGACTTATTCACCTCAGGTACAGAACATGACTTTCTTGAATTAATTTTCATGAATCTTTACTAACTTTTTTGCCAGTCATGACTGACAGGAACTGTGAAATAGCTATATTAAGGACTATTGATATTGTTGTTAGCAAGAAGTTTGTGAGGTGTGGTTCTTTTACCTGTCATATCTTGTGTCAGTTTCCTCCAGAAGGCATTATAGTTGCCAATGTCCGAGTATTTGAAGCTGAATCCCCATTTCTGAACCTCTTGCTCACAAAGATGCAAATCATGTATTTTTCACATCTGTACCACCCAAAACATGTAAAACCCCAGATGACAAGTGGTTTGAAACACAGAGCTCTAATAAGGCTTTTTCAAGGACAAGTTTCTCCCACTCTCTGATATCATAGAAAGTAGTGAGTTGGAGTGTTGTCTGTTTAGAGCTTAAGTACATGCAGGAAGATATAGAATTGCTTTTTACTATGTCATGACAATACTTTGATGAGTTGAGCTGTTAACCCCTTACATATAAAAATTGAATGACATGTCATACTTGTCTTAATTCAGATATTAATACGGGTCATGTTTTATAAAAATGTGTAAGATTTTGTTTCATTGAGATACATATATTGAAATTACAGGACAGACTAACATAATAAAAGTACCTGACTTATAACATGACTCACTTGTTTCTAGATCAATTTAAATCTATTGACTAGTCATTGATTATCTAACAGGTTATTTCCTATACAATGTATAGTGGATATGAGAGTCTGATAGAATTAAATACTTGTTTAACTTTTACAAGGTCTTGAAACATTAGAAGATGAAGAACCTTTGAATTTTGGGAGGAAGCAGATGGAGTCATATGCTTGGTTCTATTTTTTACCCTGGTGAAAATATCTGATGATTTGATAACATTATTCTAGACAGATACTGATGGTAGAGGAAAGATCTACGTCAAACATTTGGTCAAGGACTGATAAACTAAGATGTAAAATATTGATGTGTATTTCAGATTTTGTCTGTCTTCTTGAAGCTCATTCATTCTTCCTTTTTGTATCCTTCATTCATTCATTCATTCATTCATTCATTCATTCATTCAACATTCATTCATTTGCTATGTGTTATATTATAGAGGATAATAAGGTATTAGGTTAAGAGGGATGAATGTTATAAATCATTTAGTATGTTTATGATTGACAGGGAATTATCTCTTAATCCCTTAATCCTCTCAGAGCACCTGTTGTTTATATACTTATTGTATATGATTATTATTGTTAATATACTTAGCCTGTCAACAAATCATTTTGGATATTGGGTGGACACCATTTGAACAGATATTAAAGGTGTGAAAATGACAGATCAGGTTAATATTTGGCTTAAATTCATAGCCGTAGCAGAAAGACAGGCTGGATATTCTGCTTTATTATAGAATTTTACAATTTAAATCTTTTATTCATGTGCAGAAATCTTCTAGCGATTCTAAATTTTGATTTGCTTCATGGACAGAACACTGGACTACAGTGTTAGCTCTTCTGTTACCACTGACTAATAAAATGTTCATAACTTAAGGTGAACTGAACTTGTGAAGACCTTGATAAAACTATGAAGGTCGTATATACTTTGATGACTGATATTTTTCTCTGAGGACCTTAAGATATCTATATTAATATCTTTGTAAAATATGTCAATTAAAAAAAAGGCTAAAAGAAACATGATAACAGTCAAGAAAATTGGCATTGACAGAATATTAAATGGAATCTAATATATCCATAGTGCAGTACACACTATTATCTACCTTACAGGGATTAATGTAAGAAGGTTTTCTTAATTTTTTATTTGTATCTGGGACACTGATAGCATCATTTGCACCATTCCAATCAGACGTCTGTAGTTCCTGCAATTCCACTTAGCTAGGTGTTAGATGACATCACTTATTGCAAAGGGCCTTATGTGAAAAAGCAAATTTCTCAATTAGTGATGTCACAAAATTTTAGTGGAATTGCTGGAACTATAGACATCTGATTGAAAATTGGAATGGTGCAATTCCGTGTCCCTGATACACATAAAAAGTTTAGAAAACCTCTTTACAATCCCTTTAACTCATAAAGTTTGCCAACATTTTTACATTATCTTACTAAAATGAAACAGACAAAAGATTGGATTTGTTCAAATTCCTTTATACACATATATCTTATTACCACCATCTTTCAAAAGAAAACCACTTTGTCGCTTCTTGTTAATTGAGTATAATTTGATTTGGCAAGATTTTAGCGATTTGCTATTCGTAGATTCTGTAATATCTTTGACCAATGTGAAACTATGAAAAAAAAAATATGGTTGGTTAATATTTTCTTGCTTTCCAAGCCATCTTTTACTAATATGCCATTTATAAAAAATATGCATTGGTGTATGTTACGATGTCTGACAAGCTATGTTTGTAGCACCTGCTGTGTATTATAGGTTTTTATTTTTTAACTGAATATTGAACTGTTTATAATTTCAGATTCCTCAGTGGATAGATTAAATGAAAGACGAGGATCAGCTCCACTAGTGTCTTCTGGTTTTTCTGGAGAAGAAACCATGGATACCACTCCTTCTTCCACATCTTCTCGTTTAGCGGTAAGACCATTTTACTTATTTTGAAGACTGGTCTGCTTCACATTGAAAAAAATATCATGTCTGCCATTGTTTGTTCAACATTCTCACAGACATAAGCCAAGTTTACAGATATCATGATGTCACCAATGAAAACTTAACCCTATTTAAAACAACTTACTATCCTGATTTCATATCAACCATCTAAAATCTTAAGATAATTCATACCAGTAGTGACTGAAACATTATTCATACGTTTAAACTAACCAAGGGGATATAACTCTGTCTTTACTTTTAGTTTATTTGGCTGTTAACTAAAATGATGTTTGTACAGTTGGAGTTAATTTAGAAATAAAGAAATATGTCTATTTGTAATAAGGGTTTCCTTTTTTTCATAATTAAAGTATTCATCATGGATATTTTCATCCTAAAAGTTTATATAGAGGATGACATTTAATATCAGAAACAAGGTACTGGATCAAGTTAAAATAAATCTGTTCAATTGTAAGTTTGAAAATTTTAATCAGGAATCTTGAGCAAAAAAAAAAATCAAGATCCATAACAATTACCATATTGCTAAACCACAGAGACAAAAATTGAGGAGTGCCTTAAGGTGCTCTGTAATTGTAAGCAATTCTCCTGCAGTCTGCAGTGCTTAAAATATCTGAATAATTCAGATTTAGATGGTGTAAAAAGATTTGAAAATAATGATTTACTGATGTATGTCAGATAGTAACATTTAAACTTATAGTATAAGACAAGATAAGGCCATATATATTTTGTATTACATATTTTACATTTTCTGTCACATGTCATACATTTGATCTTAAAGTTGCTCCAACCTTAAAATCCAAAATAGTCCTATGGAATGATTGTAAACAAGTGATGACACTGGAGAGTTCATTTAGCTAATCAATTAATTTTCCTGAATTTAACCAACAAAATAGTGTATGTAACAAAAATTGAAGCGACTGGGACAAGTTTTAGAAATCTTAACTAAAGACAATTCCAGAGTTCCTGTTCCAGTCATAAAATCAGATTGCTGTATTTCTTTTAAAACAGGACCTATTTCATTTTGGAAAACTGGACCTATTTTTTGTCACATGTAGTGAATTTTGGTAGATACTGAACTTTTTTTCTTAATGCATCTGGGACAGTGTCTTTAAAAATATTGTAGATGATAAATATCTGCTACATGTTACTGATATATGATACAGATTAAATGTGTTTTATCTCACACTGTATTTTACTTATGTCTTTTATCATAAAAAACCAACATCATATTTCACATTGTATTATAGCAGTACTGCATGTTTTAGATAATATCATGCATACATATGAAGCTACTAAAAGACATGTACAGCATGTTTTCATAGATCAAGATTCTATGGTATTTGATTATGTGGTGTTTTTCTTTGGTATATGATGGAAATAAATTTTAAGATCTCTTACGATAAATACATGTTTTCTCTGAAGTAATACTATGGTTATGGCCTTCTATGATTTTTATCGGGTATATATATATATATATATACTCCCTAGGAGTTTTAATAAAGATATTCAAAAGACTTGTTTACTTGACCAGTTAGTCCATCTTGACCAGTTAGTCCATCTGGAAAATTACATAAGATTTCTTTCCTTATACAGGATTCAAACTAAGACAAATTATTTAAATTTTAAGATCTCTTACGATAAATACATGTTTTCTCTGAAGTAATACTATGGTTATGGCCTTCTATGATTTTTATCGGGTATATATATATATATATATACTCCCTAGGAGTTTTAATAAAGATATTCAAAAGACTTGTTTACTTGACCAGTTAGTCCATCTTGACCAGTTAGTCCATCTGGAAAATTACATAAGATTTCTTTCCTTATACAGGATTCAAACTAAGACAAATTTATTTAATTTAAGCTAAGTTACAATATCTTTTGTGGCCATTTTCTCGGAAGGTAGAATATGCTTACCCATTCAGAACATCTAATACATTGAGCTGTAACTAGATCTGTTAACTTTATATTATTTTTAAAAATTCCATTTGGCCAATGATATTAGTAAGAAGATTTATTGCTACAAACTGAGCTACCCCACTGCCATCCTATCTATTTGTAAAGTTGATAGTTTAATACAGGTATATATCTTATACTATCTTCTCAGTTTACATCTGTTCTTTATTCTCATATTTCAGAGTTTCTTCTCTAAGAAAGGACTACGTTCAAATTTAAAACGAACCAAAAGTGTGACCAAACTTGATAGAAAAAGATCAGCTTCACAAGTTAATGAGAACGACACGTAAGTACCTCAATAAGTGTTTAATAAATTGATGTAGTCATCTTATTATATGTTATACCAGCATATAAATATCAATTTCAACTCCGTATACATACCACATGTGTTACTTAAAAAACAATGATAAATGCAGAAGAAATGAATTAGACCCAAAAATTTCAGATCTTTTGGAATGGTTTACTAAAATTCTAAAAAAGATCTATTATTACATGGAAATGAATAGTTTGAAACAACAATTGTATTAACTGGAAAATTTCAGGTTTCATTTCTATAATGATTAAAAATTGCTTGTTCCTGGAACAAAAAGCAAATCAAAAGAATATACACTGAAGGATAATATTATCTTAAAACTACTACTTTTTGATATATATATAAATGATGATTTAAGTTGACTGTGATATTAATATCTAATTTGTCATTTTTCTATGTTAAAAGTTTGTGATATTAAGAGATCTTGTGAACATAATATTTAAGTTAAAGATGATAATTTAAATCTCATTTATGTTGATGTTTTAACCTTAAATACAAACATGTAAATTATAAATACATATATACATAATTTTTTATAGTTTACAATTTTTCTCTCCGTGTCCTAGTTTGCTAGTATTTTTTCAAAACTCTAATACTCTATCCAAGCTAAGCTACTTAAGATACAACTTAGTGAAGGTAAAGAACCCAAGACTATCGAGTTTATGGCATAGCAGTTGTATTCAAGAGATACAGCCTCTTTGTTAGGTTGGTGTCTGTGGGGATTGGCCCCAGTGAGAATTAAACCTTCTTCAGTTCGGCAGAGATTGATTCATTTATACATGTATAGTGTCTCTGTACAAAATCAAAAGATATAGATTTTAATACGTTTTTACCACAAAAGAGTTCTCTTGGCCTTAATTCTTCAAATTTTCTGAGTAAAAATCTTCTGAGTATCAATTCATTCCTGGCGATGGAGCTGTAGAGATAACAGGAAATAGTGGCAAGAGATCGTGAATGTTAAGGTTATTATTCCATACCACGCCTTTAATTATCAACTAGTTATTTTTCCTTATCATTTTCACTTCCTCTCTATTAATTATATGATGATTTAGGTTGTTCAGGTTATCCAGCGTGACTAAATGCCTGAAAGGTCACCAGTTAAGACCAACTGTAGAGACAATATGTGTCATCTGTTAATTCATAAAATCTGTACTGTGTCCAGAGTTGTTGGGGAGGCAAGGCATGTTTTTTCCAAAGTTTCAAGTTTTAGAAAATTCACTTAAGATTTTTCATATCATGTATTTTCAAAGAAAATATGTAGGTAAATGAAGCAATTATCAATAACAAGCTTGAAAACATCTAAGCAATCAGAGTTTAATTTTTGGTACAGTAGCTAACTCAATACAATGTGACTTGATTGCAGATTAAGGCTATATAAAGTGAAAAGTTTTGATTGACCCTCTTGACCATAAGGACGTACAGTACTGAAAATTCTATATATAGACTATCTATGTAATCTTCCAGTCTGATTTTCTAGTTATCTTGTTTTCCAGTTCATTTCATAACTTACAGTTTCAACAACTGTAAATATTTCATCATCTGAAGATAAGAGACAAATTAGACAGATAAATATACTATAAACAAGATAACATATAGATGGGGGAAATAAAATTTAAAATTTCTTTCTTGGTATTACTCTTACACTAGGCACCTTTCCTACAAAATTCATATGCAACAAGGATAACATCATAATTGTACAAGTTTGCATAGAATTGGGATTCAAAACAGTTTCTGTTGAATATTTTAAATTGTTGCTGTGAAGGATGTATATCTGTGAGGAACAATTGTATTTGTTAATTGAGCTAATCAGAAGGGTCTTACATTGACTTGTCTTTGAATTAAGGTAGACTATATTTTGGGATCTATCTTAAAGTCAGTTACATTTTTTCCCATGATCCAAGAATATGGAAAGGTATATTTTCTGATGGATCTTGTCTTTCAAGTTCAATTGTTTTTTTTTGTTATTCTTGTTTTTCATGATTGAATTTGTCTTGTCATTGATGTTGCTAGGTGTTGTGTGAGATTCTGGAATCAGCGACGTTGTTTTGTATTTAAAACAATGTTGATCAACCTATTGTGATTATAATGGACTATTCTAGATTTAGTTCCTGTTACTGTATATTTCGGAACCTAGATTATCTGATTTACAGGAAATGGGTGTCGATTTCTCTTTCCTTTTGAACTTCTCAGGAAATTAATATTGTCAATATTTGTCAGTTAGTTTATTAAAGTTGTTTAAATCAGCAATATGTCTGTGGCTTCTGATGATTTTGTTTTTACTCCGACTTCCCCCAGGAGTCCACTGAGTCTGATGAGTCCGAAAGAGTCTGAAAAGTCCGAAGAGTCCTGCCTTCAGAAGACTCCAATTCGAGTATGTATACTTTTAATGACATTTCTAATTTCTAGGTTTTTCGTCATTTGCAATAGATTGTCATTCTTGCTCAATTTTGTCGGCTACATGAATAGAATTCAATGGATATCAAATCTCAAGTCATCTCAACTAACCTTCCATAACTTCTTATATACTATACTAAGTTGCTGGAATGTTCTCACTAATACTCTTAAAAAAACTTAGAATACCGTTATTTTGAAACCTACTCCAAATCAAACATTTATAGTTGATGGAATTAAGCTTGGTATGCCCTTTAAATTGATATTTATTATAGATTAATATTTGTTATAATGATGTTTGTTGTCAAAACTGTGGAATTATTGTTACAAGATCATATTTCCCTGGCAGATTTATTGATCTTCTGAAATATAAGTCTCAGATTATAATGGACAAAAATTGGTGGTGAAATTTGAAAATAAAATGCCACAAATCTAGATAATTGGTTTTATTAGTCTAAAATGTTTTCACAATTTTCATGGGAATTTCGAGTTGAATATTTGATGGTGTTGGAATTGTGCCAGGTTTCTACAATTCACAATGAATTAACACCTTTTATATAAGAGTTTTTATCACTTGGTAGGGAATAGATTCAAGCCTGGTTCACATTGGAGTGGTGGACTTGGTAATAAACTTTTGGACTTTTGACATTTGTTTCGGATATTAACATTAATCAGCAGGTAAAAGCAAACCAAGCAAGCCCATGTAAAAAATGCAGGATAAGAAGCCTACGCTGCTAATATGCTAAAACAGATTTAAAACTATTATCATGGTACATGCTTACTGCTGAGAAGGTCTGAATTATTTCCAAGGTTGTTTGTCACATGATTAGGATGTATTGTATGATCCATTGTATCTAGCACAACTTAGAATATGGCATAGGTTCAGTGATTAGGTCATTTAATAATACAGAAATGAGACCATATCTTAATGTTTTACACTAAAAAAGATTTATAATTAAAGGCTAAAAATTATTGTGTTGTGAATCAGGCTTTAGTTTCAATGATACCCTATCAAAATGTATTTTATTAAAAATGTTTCATCTCCTATCATGATTCAGTCTCACGGCGCCAATTTCCTTAATGTGTTGATACTGAGTAACAATAGAATGAAAATGAACAAATAATGTTTTCATGATAGCAACATGTAACTCTCATTTATAATATTAAATTTTGTTGTTCTTAAAATAGAAAACATAACATGGGAGAATTTGATCTTTGCCATCAGAATGAGACAGAATATGCGGCCTCTTTTCTCAAATTGAAAAAAGACTATATCAAAGGGAAGTGCCATTATTTTTTGACACATCATGTTGCTCAGTGATCTTTTATCATCATTTATCTCCCTTAACCAGATATTAGTGATGGTCACAGGGTATCCTCATAATTTGTATTAAATACAGTTGTCCGGTGTGGAATTATTACTGTTGAACCTGGTCTTAATTGGGCAGGAAATGCTTACACTTCCAGGGCATCTTTGTATGTCAATATTGCAACTCTACATTTCCCATGAGTGGTATTTGTGGTTATGTCTAAACCAGTTCAGTGTTGCAATGTTGACCAATCATAGATTACATTCTGTGTTGAAAAAGTAATTAAGGTGATTGAGTTTCCATTTCCTAATTGTATTTCTATGAAAATAAGAAAGAGGTTGTGAGATATTTATTTCTGTTAGAACCCTCCCTGCTAGTCTAGTCTAGTCTTGAGGTACAATTTATGGCATTTCAACATTTTGTCTGGCTAAGTTTTAGTTTTATTACTTCTACCAAATTCTATGGATGTTAAATGTAAGATAATATCAAAAGGCTGTTCACTGCAGCTTCACTATTGTAGAGACTGCTGAAGGCTTATTCTTCTTTTATATTTGGACAAGATATATAAAGAAAATCTTAAAGTTGTAGAGATCAGAAGAACACGCTTTATATAGTTCAAGTTCTAAACACACTAAAAAAAAAACTGCTGCAGTAGAAATTGGAAATCTATTCTGACAGTATAGTTAGAAATAGTTGTAAGATAATCAGGTTTCTGGTAAAAACTAGTTAAAATTGTGGTTGAAGAGTCAGAAGATCAATACAAAGGCACATTCTTCTTAAATTGAATTTTTCTGAGTTTTATTACAGTCATACTGGAGACAAGGTCAACACCATGGAAAATTGAGTGCCTTCTCAATAATATTCCTCGATTTTTAATGATTATTCAAGATCAGTTCTAATTTTAATATAATGACATGACTGTTGTTCTAAATACACAGATCTTTCTCTCCCTTCCCTGCCCTCATTTCGTCCAGCTACATTTTCTGCAGTTGCACAACCTTCTTACTCATCCAAATTCTGCAAAACCATTCCTTAAACAATCTTGTTTTAACCAAGATTTCTTTTATAATATAGACTGTAATGAATTGTTTTTTAAGCATGTTATAAATTACTCTTCATTCAAAATCCCTATTGGTAAAATAATAAGTTAAAAAATGAAAAATTCAGAAAAGAAATTCTATTTTTAAATAACCCAGTAGCATGCAATATTTTTTTATAGTAAGAGTTCTGCCAAAAAACAAGCCACAAACATCTGGAGTTTGTATTTTACAATAAAATGATGTAAGGAATTAATGTTTACCCCACCTGGTGGTAGATAAAATATGTTACCTGAGATATTTATAGTAACATTGATAGAAATTATAACACATGTATGAACAGACGCATGATGAGCTGTTGTTTTACCTGTTAAATAAGCATAAAAACTGCACTGTTAAAAATGGAAAGTCAGCAGAAGTCTGCTAGGCTAATAATTTGAACAAATTTAGAATTTTAAGCTCAGATTTAATATCTCTGCCTGCCTCATGCATACAAACATGCATATAAACGAAAAAAGCTTTACGTTTTATTTTTGTTACATTTATATAATTTCAAATAAAATTTTTTAACGTTTAAAGCTACATGTATTCTCATCTAAAAATTTACATATGTCTTAAATTTAAATTCTGAGAATTGTTCTGTCAAACAATTGAGCTCTTTCAGCTGGCATCGGGCTGGTACAGAGAATTATAATAAGGTACAGAATTATTTGATAGCACCACTGCAAAACCACAATATTGAAAGTTAAAAATTGCTCAGTAGCTCATATCCTGTGTGATTTGCTACAATTTTCTACTATCTGTTATCTTGAAGACCCTATCTTATTAAGACCCCTATTATAAATTTCACACCTCAAATGACTTGCGACAATGATTTAGAAACCTGACATGTGACCCTTGAACTAAAATAAAATAGTCATGTACTGAAGAAGGATATCTCTACATCTCATTAGCTAAGTTAATGAGGTGACTCAAATAGTGGAGAATAAAAGTGAACCAGGAAAGAAATGTGATCCCTATTGAAGCAGTTTGATCATTGAACCAATAAATTACTATAATAAATTGTTAACTCTTTGATAGAAAAGTGTAACAAAATATGTTGACTTTGTTCATCACTCATAATTTAATAATAAATAATTTATAAGCTAGATTCAAAATGAAACTTTTCATCAAAAATTTCTTGTCATTTCATCTGCATATCTGCAACATCTAGTTACATTTTTATACCCTCTGTCACTGGGTTAGTCAAATTGTTTAAATATGTACATTTAAATACTTAGATTCATAACCACAATATGTTTTATAACAAGTCAGTATTGACCAGATATATCTGCTGTAGTCATAACAAGAGTAGACTCATGTTGCTGCCGCAAATTTTCCAACATTGTTTGATCCTGTCTGTCTTTGTACACCCAAAAGCAGAAATTCGGGAAGTTAACTATATTTGATTTCCTTCCCAGTACATTTAATATAGTCCTGAAACCAATATTACTTGAAATTATTCAGATACAATCATTTTAAAATTATCATTACCTCTCAGCTTACATTTACAATTACATTTACATTTACATTTGCATTTACAATTATATTTACATTTACAAATGTTTGTAAGTCTCTTAAAACTATAATATATATTCATATTTTATCTTTATCCTTTATCACTTAATAATTAATATTTATAATATTTTGAATGATGTATTAATTATTTATTTCCCATATATTATCATTTATCATATTAATAATCAGCTATTGTTAATTTATAGTATATTATATTGATCAATCTTTCTCAAGTAACTACAAAACTTGATTCAGATACACCAGAAAAATCTAGCAACTTTGTGCCAATTTTGGCTTTGAAGTTAAGCTTTCAACACTCATCTTTTGGTTTCATGAAGTATTTGATGCAAATTACAAATTCTTTGCTCTATGTTGACTAACTAATTTGTAATTATCTTTCTGGCTAGAGTATCAGTATAGAAATATTACAAGTTATTAAGTTAAATTAAAACTAGAATCAGTACTGGATAATTTGGAACTGATGTTCTCTTGAGAAAGATATTTTTGTCCTGTGCTTGGTGTGGATCCATGCTTTGTTTTTATATTTGTTATTTATACTTAGATCAATTGTATACAACTCCAAATTCAAACTCCAAATTCAAACTTCTATCTTCAGCGAATCCCAGTGAAATCAAAAATACTAAACTTTGGGTATGAAAGGCACCAAATATTCTAAAGTAACAACCGTCACCATACTCTAGATTAATAATCAGATGGTGATAAACTGTTGTAACACATGATGTTATTGGATTATTGAACTCCATCTTTATCTGTATACAATTGATCTATACCCTATACTTATATATTGACCTTACTTGGCCTGAATTTGGTTTTTATTATTAATTTATTCTTAGTGGATCATTCGTCGGTTCGTTAAAAAGAACAATGAGTTTGGGACGGTTAAATCGTAAGAGAGGTACACCATCTAAATCAGATCATGTAGATTCTAACCCAACAACACCACATCATCATCATAACTTGTAAGTATTTAATTCATTTAATTAATTTAAATTCATGGTTTTAACCTTTTTACAATATTAGTGAGTTATTCAGTCAAATATGGCTTAACTTTTTTATTAGAATTAGTGCAAAATTTTTGGGACAGAAAATTTAAATGTTTGAAAATGCCAAGCAATTATATTTTGAGAACATGAAAGACAATCATATGACATCATGGGTAAAGTGCCATATTTGGCAGAATATAACCATTCACGTTTTATGCTTATAATTCTTTTGCTTTTAATTTTCATAAATTTAAAAACATTAATCAATTAATTAGCATACTTGTTTCCCTATTACCTCATATATGTAATGTTACTTCCATTCACCCCTTACCCACCCAACTGTAACCCTTGTCAATGTGTGTATCTGAATGTTAGTTATAGTATTATGAAGAAGGTAAGTGAAGAAACATGATTTTAAACAGCTAACAGAATTTGTACATTTTGGTGGAGCTGAAGGG